GAGGCTTGTTCATACACACACACACACACACACACACACACACACACACACACACACACACTTCCTCCCTCATTCTCTTTGAACGCACACACAACCACAACCTGTCTCTCAAACCTTCCTCACAGCATACATATGAAGAAGAAAAATAATTCCCCTCTTAATTTATTGTGTTATGTGTCATTTTTCAAATTAATGACGTTATCATTCTTTGTCATCCTCTTTTTCTTTTGTCATCAAATGCTGAACGTCGCTAAGAAAACAAGCTCCATCTAGTATGTTCTCATCATATCTCATGATCATCTTTAGCAGATGGAGTTTGCTCAGTTATCATGCAATTGTAAATGTTCACATTTGTATTCCTTTCTGAGCCCTTCAAGAGCTTCTTGTCCATGTTGGCTTAAAGGCTGAGATTCAAAGTTTACTCTTGACCCTGGAAACATCCCCATGTGCTGATGAAGGTTATCAGATGCCTCAGAACAGCTATTAAAAAGGACCTTGTGGGGAGATTGTTTTCTGTTTCCAAGGGCAAGAATGAGAGTTAAACCTCAATCTAAATAAGTAATAAATAAATCCACAAAGAAACACATTATGTGTGTATGTAAAATAAAAAAGACAGTAAACAATCATCAATAGAGAATCAAGTGGACAAAAAAAGTCATCTTCGCCATTTCTGGATGTTGTGTTGTTCACCTTAAATGGCACTTGTGTTTGTCAATACCTGTAATGTTTGGGTTGATCACTTGATATAAAACTCTCTTGATACTCATACAGCACTGACCATTGATCTGTCATCCAACATGCACAGTGAGTTACTGATTGTGCATCTTTCCATTAGCCTGAAGACACAGCTATCACTCCCTCTTCATACATTCATACATACATTTCTCTGTGTTTAATGGCAGTGTCTGTTTGACGGCTGCACGCTAACACAATTTTCCAGAAAACCAATTTGTTGGTTGTCAGCCAGAAGCCCCTTTTTTCTCATTATTTGTCACAAAGCGATTTGTTCCTCTGAGTTTAGGGCTCTTCTCTGTTGATATGTGCGAGAATTTACTTCCAGGGTAAACAAAACGACGGGATGAAGTAATTGGCTGCCAGTTTTCCATGTAAGGTTTACCCGATTGCCTGTCTGATCAACCACAGACTCCTTCAAAGGCCTAACTATTCGCAGTATGAAACATCAACACTGACACTTACATACAGCAGTTATACGGCCGATAATTTGCTCTCATCTACGCAAACAAAGAGATTCTCCTTGGATAACACGATTTTAGGGCATAGTAAGCATAGTAAACATCCTAACAACAGCATGAGATTTAGCACTGGGCAACACTTTGCTCTGGGGACAGCATGATAAATAAAATTTGGCCTGATAAATAAATGTAGAGCCTGTGTATTTAAAGGCCTCTGGATGAGATTATTAGCAGCTCACACAGCGATTAAAGCCAACTTAAGAAGTCGCCAGCGGCTGTGTTCCCACTGCCTAATTGAAACCATTCCTTATTTACTCATCTCAACTAAGGGGATCAGAGAGCAAGCAAAGACGGTTTCATTTTCTACTTAATATCTACTGCCTCGTGAATCATGTGCACACGCTACAGCATCCCTCTGGGGAAAGGACAGGGTGTTCATGTCGCACCGAAATGAAGAGGGGAGGAAAGGAAAAAAACAAAATCACAGATCACAGAAGGATTAATTCCATTTCTAAAGGCAGCCAGCGGTGGAGGACGGGGAATAAGGGAGGGAGGAGGAGCAGAGGGGGGGAAAGACAAATACGTTTCACCCGTTTGCGATGGCGGCCTATTTCTTTGTGTTAATTCCTCCACGCCTTTTAACTTCTAAAGCTCCTGCATTGTGGCGCAGTAGGACAGAGTGTGATTGAGAAATTTGGAGTATTTTTAGCCAAAGCACTCACATGCCCCGGGGGGACAGCATATGATTTTTTTCTCCCCTTCTTCCTCTTCTGCTTCTTTCGTGGTTTCACAATGAACCTCTGGATTTGTGCCCAGAAGGAAGAGTTGGGATCCGAACTGAATCAGCTCTCTAGCTACATCACAGGAGCAGCCTCCTGATTGGCGCTAGCAGGCCTGTTCCAGAAATTCCTTTTTCCTCTGTTGCCTTCCTGATGATGTTGTGTGGCACGCTAAACGCACACCACATCATTGTGTTACAGCCTGCACTAAATTGATGAAAAATGTCACACATATGAGCTACAGTTAAATGTGTCTGCCTGGTTTGTTGAGGTGTAATGTGTGGGGAGTGACAGATTGAGTGCAAAAGGATTATAATAATCTCATTCCTAAAGAATTACAGTTGTAATCAATTACAGATATTGGAAAGACATAAAACAGATTAGAGATACAACCTGGTTCCTTTTTAAACAGCTCAAAGGCATTTGAAGGAAAGTCTGGAAACTGCCCAAAACTAGTGTAAAACTAGTACAATATGTATGTAGTATGCCTGAAGTTGTTATAGTGCTTTTAGATTGAATACAAACATTCTTCACCTCTCTTTATTCACACAAATTTGACTGCTGTCAGAGTTCAAACGTGGGATGAATGACTGACATGAATTTGACCTCTGATGCCCTCGTGTTGCATCGTGGGAAAAACATCTACACTGACTGTGTATCACATGAGCACAGACCATTTTATACAACTCAAAATTATATTTATGTCTGTTGATACAGAACAATTATAGTCATATTTGCAATGAGAGACTAAGAGTTGGAGTACCAGTTACATTCAGGTTTTGCAGATTTCAAAGAAACATTCAGAAACAATCATATATAGCAGACACAGAGTGCATTATATCGAGTTTTGGGGTTTTAAATATTGAGTAATCTGGATCCAAATGCACCTTAAACGTGCTTTTTCCTGCCTTGCCATGGACTATACTGTTATTATTTGACCAAACACACAAAAACCACTTCTGGCATGGTCTCGCCCGTCAGCTCCACCCACACTCGCCCTCCCTGTGACCTCCCATTGTACTTCTGTACTTTGACTTTTCCCATGGATCTGAACCTTTCGTTCTGTCTTATTGACTCTAATTAGCCGGAGCGGCATTTCCCACATCTTGTGACAGCTCGTACAGACAACCAGACCTCCTCTCTATCTCTCTCTCTCTCGCTCTGGTCTCTCGTTTTTGCATCCAGCTCTTTGTCTTGGCACCCACCCACGCGCCCCAGCTGTTTGGCCTACAGTAAATGTCGCCTCATACAGCGTACTGCTGGGATCCCAGTCGTCATGCATCTGGGGCCAAGCACCATCTCAATCATGGTTTCTCTAACTTTCCCTCCCTTTTTTGACCTCTCTGCCATTTCTTCCTCCCTTTTTCTTGTCCATCCTCCTTACCACTATCAAGCCCTCCGTCTAATTGCTCCCATTCCTGAACCTGAACCACTCTCCCTTCCCCCACTTATTACCATACATCCTGATTGGCTGCTGTTGCCTGACAGAAGCTGTGTGTGGCTTGTAACACAGCTGGTTGCTCCCTGAATCAGGTCGTCACCAGCGGCTGCATGCTGCAGGTTTTCATCCCTCTGGGGGGGAGAAAATAATGCAGAGGAACAGCTCTGCACAGCAACTCCATCCCTAACTTTATTTTTCAAACAACCAGCCACTCACTGATTGCTGCTCATTAATGTCAGGCCCCTGTCCGCTCTCCTTGGACAGTCAAGTTGAGTTGAGAGGGAATCAAAGGAAGTGTCAGAATATAGAGAGCTGCTGTGATACAGAGCCTAAGCAATCAGCTCTGATTGGATTTTGATCCACTCTTATTAACTCCCAGATTGAGGGGATGGAGCGAAAAGCGTGATGCTAATTGCCAAAACAAACCGAGAATGACTCTAAAATCAGTGTTGGTATCTGAATTGCAAATCTTTACGTGGTTTCTTTTTTTTTTTTTAAGCAATTTTCCTTCTTGTCTACCCTATTGGTGCCTCTTCATCTCAGCTGTGCTGTTGGGTACATTATTACAGAATGTGTAAAGTCAGGTAGGTCTGGCTGTACCAGAACTGTTCTACAATAACAAAGACCACGCACTTATTAAATGGAGGAAATCAAAAGGAGGCTAACTGCTGTGAAAAAGGATATACATTTCCATCATTTGCATAATGTGACAGAAATAGTTCAGATACTAAGAGCTGCAGTGGAAAATATTTCTTGTGGTTTTCTTTCATAAGTTTACTTTAGTGTCATCTGAAACTGAATGCAGTAGATGTTTCCTGCTGTTAAACCCCGTACGACTAAATCTGTGCAAAACTGTTCTCACTAACATTTCTTATACTGTAAATGTCACATTTAAGGTGCAGCAGGGAACACAACAGAACACTGGTAGAACAGAATTAACTGTCAATAGAGGCTACATTCAGCAATAAGGCAGGAGCCTGTATCATATATGTTGGGGCTACATTGTTAAACAAGGGACAAATGTGGGTCAGCGAGGCAATGGGGGTCAGGTGCACACAGAGGAGCAGGATCAGGTGATTGGCAAATGGTGGGAAAGTCTGTGGGCATCTGGTGGACAGGTGGTGAATGAGAAGGCCTGGAAAGGTCCATGAAGAGGCAGGTGTTAGAGAAAGGTTGTGAACAGCCGGTGGAAGTGATATCATGACAGTAAATGTCAATTTCACTATTGCCAGTTGAAAGTGATTCATACGGCAGGAAATTGTGTTTACCTTTGTTATTCTAAATGTAGCTTTTTCTCTGAGAGAAATCTTCTGTTTTAACAGAAGTGATTGCTTTGGCTACTCAGCAGTGATTTGTTTAGAATAAAGGGAAGAATGAGGGCATTACAGACACAAGCAGTGACTTCCACCATGGCTGACAGGACTACAGACAAATTACATTTCATAAACAGAAATCCAGACTCATTCAAATTCAACAGCACAGCCATTAGCACTTATAGAAGTGTCCAAATAAAAGATGACCTTTACAGTCATTCCACATACAAATTGTTTTGTCTCACACATTCTCTCCCTGTTTGGTGTCTCTCAGGTGGGACGTCCACGCTGCGTCTCTCGTCGGTGCGGGAGCTGCCAGGCCAGCTGCAGGAGCTTTACCAGCAGGGCTTTGTCCTGGCAGCAGTTCACCCATTCATCCACCCCTGTGGTCCAGAGTCCAACAGCCCTCAGCACCAGCTTTACCGGGCCATACTGGTCCGACTCAACGACGGGTAAGAACCACATGAGTGATTTTTGACTATTAAATGTATAATTACCTGACCCTGAGAATACATAGAGGAGAAAAGGGTCAAAACATTAGTTTCTACCCAGACAAAGCTAATGGAAACATCCACCTACAGTTTCTGCAGACAGTTTAGTCATTAAAGGTTAGCGACGATGGCAAGTTCTCTGCTGAAGGAAGATGCACAGTATAATTGTGTATACTGGTACTTAAGGATAACTGTTTATGTCTTCTTCAGAAATGTACGAAAACATTACCCTGATCAGATTCAATCATTTTTAGGCCCAAAACATTTTTATATTTCCTCCTGCAAGAGGACACTGAACACTGCAGTTTTTTTAATACTAAAAACACATTTTTCAGAAGGAAAAAGTGAAAAATAATAATAACGCATATATTTATATATATATATATTTATTTATATTATATCAAGAAATTATCCTTGAGGCCCCTCAGACATCTTAGCTACATCCATGAGAATAAGACCTTTGTTATCACAAAAAAGTGTAGCCATTATGGTCACTTAAGAAAATATGTTGATTACTAATGAACCTTAATTGGTGTCATTATACAGAAAAACACTTGATGGGAATCAGGTTTTACTTTATCTTCATGTGTTGTGTGTACAAAAATGGTATGCTGGCTAGTTGCTAAGTGACATTAGGGTTTATATCATAATTATGCAAATTTACAGCTACTGGTTTATGCTTCAGAAATCATTTTTATGTCAGTAATGTGGGATAAATATGAGCAAAGAGATTTCCAAAATGGCTAAAAAACACTGAAGGTTCATGTTGCATTTCATATCAGTTGCACAACCTTTCAGTGTTGCTTCTGTATCTAAACCAGAGCATCACAACATCTGTTTGTGGCTCAGCAAGCTGTCATGTGGGCAGCTGTATTTGGAAGTGAGTCAGCAATAATCTCAATTCTCTATCTCCAGCTCTTTCAATGCTTTGGCCAAAACTGGCTGCATAGCCCAAAGTCACCGCCGCCCCCTACATCTGCCCTCCAGCCCTGTGCCCGATCCCCTCTGTCCTGGGAACTGTGGGGGGCTGGGGGGGTTCGGTCAGGGAAAGATGCCATGGAGCGGCTCCGAGGGTGGTTGAAGGGCATGTAGGGGGATTGAATCCTTCTAAAAAATCACTTTTGCTGAAACTGCTAGCTTTGGGGAAAATTCATCCTCAGTTTTGAATGGGTCTGACAGCACAGGGGTCATGAAACATGATGAGAAGTTCTTTTGTTTTTCACTCTGGCAGCAGTGACATGCAGACAGGCGGAGTCAAGCAGCTGAAGCCCCAGTGGTTGCTCTGTCTGGCTCTGAAGTCCAGCGAACATCCAGGCCTGTTTACCAAAACACTGTTCCCTGGCCGCAGGGCATGGATGTATGTGAGGGTGTGTGTCTGCAGTACGTGAGTGTGTGTACGTGTCCGAAGAGGTTATAGATCCAGCTCCTTTCACTTCTTCTATGGAGTGTTTTATTTTTAGTTTCACATACTAACTCTGGTTGCGTTTTTTCGCATATTGTAGCTTTATGTGAATGTGTGCGTGACATTGTACAGGATAAATCTTACTCTCTGCTGTTCTTGAGCAGAATCCACCATCTCTGCCTCACAGCTTAAAACACATTTCTAAACACAGACTAACCATTTTTGTAATTTCTTCACTGTTAAGGATAAACACAACACCACTACTACTAATCTACGTTGACATCTCAGTCATTTAGCTAATGTTCTCACCCACAGCGACAGTACAATAACTGCACAAAACCAATACCCGATATTACAAGCAACCAAGAGTAAGGAGTGTAATAATCAGAGCTGCTGTGCGCTGACATTTTTGCTGCAACCATAGACTGATCATGTAACAACGACACGGAAGACATAAAATAAATACTAAAGAGAGACTGTGAAAGGATTTTGTTGTTGTTGTTTTCAGAAAAATTAATGAATAGAGGATCAGAGATGAGATTCAGGAGGGAGAAGGAGGATGACCAGAGGGAATTTGGTGAAAAGATTAATTTAAGATAAGATTAAATAAGATGAAACTTTGTTGATCCTCATGGGAGAGCTAAGTTGGAGCAGAAAATGTAAGGATTCTACATAGAACGCAAAAATAATATGAGCAAGAACATAACAAAAGAGAAGAGCAGTGAAAATAATGCAGTCTAAAAGTAATAAATTAGAAGCAAAGCAATTAATTGGTTTGTGCAAATGTTTGCTGATGATAATTTAAATTCTTAGGTGCAGTGAGAGTGTGCAGAAATTGTGTCCTGAGGAAAAACTGTTTTCAAGTTATTGCCAACAGTCTAACATGCCTGTTTGCTGGTGTTTGTTGGAGATATCAGGGTTTGTTTTCCTCCCTTCAGAAGAAACCACAGCTTTTTCTTGTCGTACAGTGTGAGAAACAACCTCCACAGCGTGAGATAATTCATCACAGCAAACATGACAACTTAATTTGGGTTTGTCAAACTTTCTGTTTTATCATTATTCACTGTAATTTTCCCAGAGTGGTGCAGTGCAAGGTGTTAAGATATGCCTTGCTTAGTGTCAATCACCTGACAACCACAGGAAGAAACTGAATTCTCTGACAGAAAAAAAAAATCTTTTAAAAACTTGTTGCCGTATGTTCCTCACATCCAGGTCTTGTTATCAGAGGCATCTTCATCCATCAGGATTGCATTCAGTTCAAGAAGTTTTTAATTCAAAAGATAAATGTTAAAAGAGTATCCCTCATTAGTTGTGTTTCCATTACATCAAGTCCTCATACCTAAACAAAAAAAAAGGCTATAGAGTCAGAGGTTACAGAAACGTAGGGCGACATGCAGGAAGGTTCCCTGACTAGATTTGTACCAGGACATTGCAGAAATGTACACCCCCAATCTTTTTGTTCTAAATTCTTTTGTGTGTGGAGTGGAAAACACTTAACTGTGAGTGGTAGGTTAACTTGAATACTCAGTATAAGTTCTGTCAGTCCGCTTTTCCACCTCAGTGGCACATTAAAAAGGTATTAAACAGTATCTTGGATTGTTTTGCTTACCATTCACGTTTTTTTTACGGACAGAATTCCTATTTCCCTTTTAATGATATCTTCTATGTTTCTCAGCATCTCTCCTGAATGTATCAATGCCATATGTTGCTGTTATGTCCGTCTGTTTTAATTATTTCATCAAATTTATCAAAAATCATGTTTTTGTCCCTCATCAGTTTGGTTTAGCAGATGGCATTCAATGGTACCACTGAGTCTCAGCAGCCACTGCTTTTGAGAAGAAGCCATTCAGAGGTGTGAATCAGAGCAGTAGTACATTCAGAACTGTTGGTCATTACTGTTGGGAAAAAAACACAGTGCAACATTTGCTGAATTAATCCAAAATTGACTCAGAATCCTCAAGTGAAGTGATTTAAACTGCTAAATGTTTGATCAGGTTTCTACTGTACATAGTGTAATCTTTTAGCTCAGCATTAGTGGCGCACGCAACTGAGGTTTAACCTCAATGATTGGATTCTCTTACTGAAACACGTTGTCTTCGACTTGTCTCCTTACATTTTAATGAACACAATTGTACCTTTGACGTTTTATCCAAGATCCAGAAATTTTCTAACTCAGTTGTTCATCTTTTATACTGTACTTTTATACTTTTTACAACCAAGCCTTGGATCCGCCAGTTACAAATCACTGTACAGGAAAAAGAACGTGACTTTTACTTTTGGAACCCTGTAATAACTAATAATAACTCCTATTACTTTGCACCTATTTTGTAAATTCATAAAGGTGACTATAACGCATCTATTGTGTGATGAAAACAAGGCAGTCTGCCACATTTAAGAAGGTCATATAGTTGAAATTCATGGCACCTCATCTGCCTTTTCCTGTCCATTAGTAATCACCTCCCATGCTGTTGTGTAGAACACCTCAGGTTCACTTTTGGCATGCCCAGACCAAGCACTGCTCAGCCATCCGCTGCTGCAAAACTGGACAACAGAAATATTGATCCTGTATGAAAAGGCTACAGCTGAATGAACTGCATCTCTGCTTTTTTGAAAAGACATGCTTGCCTTGCTCTGGAGAAAAAGACACCATGAGGGGGAAGAGAAGAAGAAAAGAAAATCACAGTTGCAGTGTGAAGAAGTAGAGAGAGGAAGACAGAAGAAGGCTGAATGGGATAAAAAAAAAAAAGTACAGAGAAAGAGAGAGATTGAGTGAAAAGGGCAGAGGAGTCTACCATCCTTTGATGGCCCCGGCCGAAAGCGGGGCCCAGGCTTTATCTCCAGCGTCTGTCACCGTGGAGACAGCTGCTCACATCAGCACCAGCCCAGGGGAATCCAAATCTCCACCAGAGAAAAATGAAGGAAAAGAAACCAAAAATCAGAGCATCTCCTCTCCAGTTCCCTTTCACTGTCAGAAATCAAAAGAAGAAGAAGACTGGGAGGGGGTTGGTGGGGGTTACAGTGAATGGGACTGAGAGGCATAACATTGAGCAGCCATTCATCTGTCGCTCCAAAGCATACAGCTTTTTGCAACTGCGCTGAAGACAAAGCCAAAGTCAAGGTAGAGGAGCTCATTGGTGTATAGGCGTCTTTATTTAGCATGCACAGTATGTCGAAACAATCACAGTCAAGTCTCTACAGTATTAGCCTCAGTGTAAAAAGCTCAGCCAACGAGGCACTTTCCATGGAGAGGGTGACGCTGCAGGAATCCATGCACAGTCAAGAACTACACAGAGGTTGTGTACATACAGCGCTGTGTCATCTGTAAATGTTAAGACACTGTCACCTGACTGACATATCTCGTTAAGTGGGTTATAACTTTAGAAACCTTAGATGGTAATTTGTCATTGACAGTGACCACCCCCCAGTTACGACCCGCTGCGGGAAAGAAGAAGAAAAAAAGAAAACTGCAATGCAGACTGAATGGATTGGACCGTTTGAAAATTTTAAATGTCAACTGTCAAATTTCTCACTGTTCAATTTGATTGCGATGGAACAGGGTTACAGTTCAGCAGGCAATGTCTGATGGGATATATTCATCATTATTGGGTAATTGCAAGGAGCTCCCGTGTGCTCAGGCAGAGAAAGCGAGGGACTGAAAGAGAGAGATGGGTTGAGCGGTAGGAGAAGGGTGGAGAGCGTAAGATGGAGATGGAGACAGAGCAAAATAAAGAGGTACAGACTAAAAACCATTAGAGGGGATTTGTGAAAATGTGACATTAGGAGAGGTGTGCTATGTTATTAAAGCTTCACAGTAACAGAGTGCTAAACATGGGTTCAGATGTTCCCTTACTGTGTAGTCATACCAATATATGAGCGGTGCGTGATGGAGGTATGTGCGATTCCTGATGCAAAAGAAAAAGGAATTCATTCACATATTAACTACAATGGGAAAATGGTTTTATTCAGCCTTGACTTTTTTTCTGTAGCGTGCGAAAAGCTTTTACTGTAGTGAAATGCAATTCAGCTCCTCTCAAGCAATTTCCTGAAACAGGAAACTAACTAATTAAGTAATAATTTAAAACACTAAACGCATACTTTGTTGCTTTACTTTATAAGTTCAATCAAAGTCACAAGTATTTATATGCAATTTGCAAGTCCATTGCAAGATACTCATTTTTCACAATGCTGACCATTTAAATGAATTTGAACATTGAACATCTGAATTAACCTTTAAAAGCTGTGTCAATTGCTTTTTAGTCAAAATGTCACTTTATGGATGATACTGACCAATAGTTGGTCCACAACTCTGGTCCAGACTGAAATATGTCGACAATTGGATGGATGGCCATGATCTGCATGGTCTCCAAAGGATGCAGCCTACTGGTTTTTCCTCTTGCAACACTATGAGATTGACATTTTTGGTTTTTACTAGAATATCTTGGTGACTATTGGATGGATTGCTGTAAAATTGCTGTAGATATTCAAGGTCCCTAGAGGATCATTTCAAATTACTTTTGTGATCCTATGACTTTTTCTCTGAAGCCACCAGCAGGTCCGAGTCTTATTCAGGGAAACAACATCTATTTGACGGGATTGGCACACAATTATGTTATTATAGCTTAAGACTGGAGTCCTTCTTTCAGCAGTGATAGTGACTATTGCTGATCATACAAAGAAAAGAGCATCATCTCAATTAACAGAAATACCAAAGGAATTAACATTTGTTGCCACAAATGGTGCCAAGTATATAATAAAAGAAGAAGGTGACGCTAAATGAACATTTCTTCAACAAATCCAGTTCAAATTAGCTTGGAGGTTTGTTCTGAGAAAATTTCAGGTTTAAACAAACAAAGACTGAACTAGTGGTAGACTTTTTTTTATAGATTGACTTCCAGTGAAAAACAATAATATGTCAACACAATCTCTTTCATACCTCAGTAAACACAGTGTAATTGGAAACCGCACATTTACAAATGATGTAGCCACTACACTGCTAAAACAAATCCCAAAGCAAGCCATTAACAGGTAATAAGCAATTAGTTACCATGTGAACGTTGAGCTCCAGTGGGAGTGATTAGTCCAACACAAGATGTTCTATGGCGATACAAAGCATGTGACCCATCTGTGGGCAGACAAGAGGGGAGGGGAAGGGGGGGTTAGCAGGTGTATTAACCCAGGAGGGAGCTCCAGGTAGGCAGGCAGGCATTTGACACCCGTCTAACCACACGAGACCTCGGATGCTGACAGTCGGTGTTGCACGCTGCATGAAAAGTCACCGTTTCACACAGAGAAGATGGACTGCAGGTGATGCAGCTGCTATTTTTAACCCGAGGCCTCCCTCCAGGACTGAGCGCACTGTTTGAATTGTTGTTCTCACCCTCCTCTCTGACTCCTCCCTGACACTCTGCAGGCAAAAGTCTCCTTCCATCCAGAGTTTTATTCCAAAATGAGGTATTCACCATTTAAAAAGAGCTGACACCTGCTCTATGCAAAATGTTTGACAGCACAAAAAGAAATCACAGTCTAGTGCTTATGTGCCCTTGGTTTTGAAAATCTCCCAGAATGACTGAATAATTTTTATTTTATTGATAGGTTGTCTGGTTTTTAATTTTTTCTCCAAAAGGATTTATGTTGTCGTGACAAAAGGTGTTGAACTTACACCTGCAGACTGACTTCTCAGTACAGTATTGCCAAAACACGTTGTAGGTGGTTTATAGTCTAAGTATAATACAAAATGCAAAAATGTCTGTATCTCTCTCTCTTTCTCTTTGTTTTGTTCCCTGAAGATGTGCCTTGAGCAAAACCAGGCTGGTTGGTTGTGCTTTATGTCGCAACCAACAGGGGATACATCCACCTTTTTTGACAGTGTTACCAGGCTTCTGCCATCATGCCTTTAAATGTTATGACGCTGCGAAAAACGAGAGCCTGCTCTCAGCTCGTTGTAATGAATGTTTCACAGAGCGTGTGAAGTTTGTACTTAACGAGTCAGTCGGCCCAGTTTCTGCTCTGCTGTGTGCTGCGACAGCGATACACGCATAGCGACGGGTGTCAGTGACAATAGAGTAGAACTGTGGTGACTATGTTTTGAGGTTTTCTTTGTCGTTGTTTTTTCGGGGGGTTGGAATGATATAAATGAGGGGCATCTGATATGCTGTGAAGTCTAACAGAAAGTCTTAGGCCAGGATGTAAAGTGATTTTCAAACTGCATGATTCTGATTCATGTGGGAAAATCCAAGAATGCTTCAACTCAGTTAAAACAGTCTGTTCAAACATTAAAATGACATTCAAAGTAAAATATAGGCACATTTTTGATAGGGAAGAAAAAAAACAGGTGAGTCTCATCAGGCAACAGAAAATATAAAGAAGCTTATCGTACTCTCAGGTTCCCTGTTAATACAGCAGGACAGGCTTGTGTCTTTTGTCTACAGAATCTCTGGCAGCTTGAGCAAACTTTAAGGGGGTACTACTCCAACTTTACATGTCAAAGTGAATTTACTAGTCACAGGTAGTAGTAGCCTGTGAAAACAGCTGTTTAATGTCTTCTATAGCTCTGGAAGGAGCTTTGTCGAGTCTGAGAAAATTACTGGAGCTATCTCAGCTTGGGCTTGGAGACTACAAATTTAGAGCCTGTGTGACAAGCTGAGGGCCAGGGAGGGTGAAAAAGGCTATTGAATGGGAAGTGTAGAATCCAGTGTTTTTAGATGTAGACCCATCTGGACTAAAAGTCTCGGCCTCTGCTGCCTAGATTTTTTCCATTTCTTTTACTTATGCGCTTGTGAAGGTCAGATAGAGCGCAAGCTTGCTAAATAAAGATATATTGACGAATCTGAGTGTATGTAAATCTGCACTTTCAGTCTGGATAGTTACTTTTTAACATCTTTTAAACATTTTTTTCAGTTTTTTAAACATTAAAGGAATTGTGTGTTATTTTTTATTCACTGTCTTGCCAAGTGTTAGATGCTAAGATTGACTTTATATGCTACATATGAAGCTCGAGCCAGCAGCTGGTTATCTTAGCTTAACTAAGCATTAAGAGTGGAAAGCGGAGCTCTGTCTAGAGGTTACAAAAAATCAGAGTTATGCTCTCAAATATTTATTGGTCAGTTGCAAGAGAGTGAATAAGCATTTTCCCCCAAAAAATATTCTGTTAAATTGTTGTTTTTGCTGCTGATTTACTAAATTTTCTTCACAGGCGATACATGCAATTGCTCAATTTGCCCTCCAATGGGGGGCATGGCAAAAAAATCACTGTGATAAAGCATTAGGAACACTCACACACACACACACAGGCAGGCACATGTAAGTGTGGTCAGAGTGAGTCTTTACTTGAACTGGGAAGCTGAAAGCACAGCCTTTAATACACACACCAGCATGCACACATGCATCTTTTATCCTCCCACACATCAGGTGTCCGTGTAAAGCCAAAGCTCTTGCAGAGTGCACACACACAGCCATCTCACACAAACACACACACCTACTGTATATACACGCAGACTCTGTAGCACACTGAGGAAAAGGGTGTGCAGGGCATCTTCCCCTTGTCAACAGGATGAGAAGCAGGGAGATGGAAGCTGGGGCATTAGTCTCCTCAGGGCTAGCTCTGGGATTTCCTCCAGAGGACAGAATAGGAAAAATACAACACCATATAAATAGATTCTCCTAGCTCAAAATACTGATATGGCCTCAGCGGGGAGAGCTGAGGGGGGATGTGATTCGGGGGGCAAGACGAGATTTGCATTAAATTTCCTTCTTTCTTTGCTACCCATGTGTTTTCTTTCATCCATGTGGATCTTTGTCTCACTTAAGTGTTTTATTGTATTTTTTTCCCGCCTCCCACAGGGCAACAATAACATTAACAAAGCTTCTTGATACAGTGTAATTTGTTGATAGGGGGTTCTTTCTGTATTATAGATTTGATGCCTGGGTCTATGAATAGCACCTTATTTGTGGATGTTTTATGACTGTAATTTTAGAAATTTAGGCTTTGTGTGAATGTGTGTTTGCATGTGAGTGAACGCATGGGTACCCTCGTGTATCGCAAGCATTTGTCCAGCAGGCTGGCTGACTGAAAGGCTGAAACTCATTGTCCTCTCTCCCCGACTGTGGTGCCTGCAGGGCGGAATGGAGCCAGTCAGTCTGCCCACCGTACAAACTACAGCTGGAAGAGTGTCTGTCTGCTGAGCAGGTGCCCACCGCAGAGCTCATCCAGGGCTACGTCAAGAAGGTAGGGTTGCTTTACAAATGCCAAGTCGAAGGTTTTGTCAGTTTGTGACCAGCTGGAAGGAGGGATGCAGGGAGGAAGAGATAGGGAGGGGAGAATGCAGAGAAATAGCGGTGGTCTTTAGATACTGAGTCAGAGATCCAAAGCAGATGTAGAAGACCACGTGAAGATACTTTCCTAATACAACAATATAAACTCAGTCTGCTACCAAATTCTTACTTTGTTCAGCATGTCACGGAGCACAATGTTTGTATGTTTTCAACTGTATTTTAGTGAATCAGCCACATGGCTTAACCTGCTTGCAAGCACACTGCTGTCAGGCTGAAAGCTTTCAACTTCAACTTGTCACTGAATGCTTGGAGCACAGGTGCCAATGAAGCACACCGTGTTTGTGGAGTAATTGCCACTTTAAAAAATAACAAAGAAAGCATGGGATGGTGCTGAAGTGTGTGTATTTCAGGCGCTGTCAGGTATGAATTAGTGGTTACTTTACAACTCTTTCTTACCACTGCTCTTATGTGAGCAATGTTAAAAGGCTTCTACTACTACACACAAGAAATGTGCTTGTTGTAGAACATTATTAACTGCAGCATCTGACAGTTTTCCGCTTGAGCCAAAGCCAGAGTGTCAACATAGATGTCTAAAAACTTTGATAGATAGTTTTGTCATGAATTACATGGAGCCAAATTTAGGCAGGGCAGCAGGAAGTGAGATGCTGTAATCCTCTTGGTTATTGGGATCAATAATCAATAACAGTAGTTATAATATAAAAGAAGTATCAACATGTCTTGACAGGCCTCCACCCCATCTGAAAAAAACTTACTTATGGGCACAACCTACCCGAAACCGAAGAAAAGACCTGATCAAAAGGAGACCCACGGACTGCGGAGAAAGAAGTAGAAAAGTATTAAAAGAAAAACACAAGACCTTAAGATCCAACTAGAAGGAGAACAGTAACACTGACAACAGGGTGATGCACCACCAATTAACGAGCAGCAGTGGTCAAAAAGAGCAGCATACATATCATTTTTACCGGCATTACAGAATATACTCTCTCCATCTCACCTCAAAAGAACACATTTCTCCTGCTATAATTATAACGCACTGTAAGCTGATAGCAGGTCTGTTCAGATGCAAGTTTTATACAAATTTACACACAGACTCTCTGCAATACAATAGGATCCTAACAGATACAATTTGAGCAAATGTATTTTAGACCTGGGCCGACCCAGGTATGGTGTCGAACCTGTGAAGACCTGTGATTTCTGATGAAAATGAAAATAGCAATTCAGCAGTATAAAAAAATACTCCAAAACAAGAAAAAGTAAAAACATATATAGTAGCAAAAAATTATAATAGTAAAATACTCATTACAGAGAATAGCCCATTTCAGAGTGTTATTAACATAGCATTAAACGGTATTTTTATGTTGTAACTAGTCCAGGCAGAACTAAACTCCATACCTATAACTATAGGAAAAGAAGTATAATGTTGCACAAAATAAAGAATACCTGAACATTTTACTTAAATCTACTAAAAGGAGTTTTTAACTGGTTATGAAACAGTCTCAATTTAGTACTGATGCCTCTACATGAACTACATAAACAAACACGACCATCAGCGAGAAGATGGGCTATTTTTACAGTTTTTTTCAATGCCTGTCACTGGTTTGGATGCGCTCAGATTTCCCATGTAATCAGAGCAAGAGGAGCCAGAATCAACACAACATGAAAATTCCTTATAGCTGCTTTAAGCAACCATGTGTAGGATTTGGTGGCATATACCAGTGTAGTTGCAGGTTCCAACTCCGTCACCTCACCCTCCCCTTCGAAGCGCGAAGGAGAAACTACAGTAGCTGTATAACACATCAAAAATGCTAGAGTTAGTGTTTGGTTTGTCTATTCTGGGCTACTGTAGAAACATGGCAGTTTGTAGCTTCTGTCAATTTGAACAGCTCATTCTAAGTTAACAAAAACGTATTGATTTTTATTTTCAGGTGATTATACATTAATGAAAACATAGTTATGAATATCATATTCCATTTCTGCCAATAAATCCTCTTAAATGTTACACACCGGACCCTTTTTGTGCACTACTTTTTCCACTTCTGACTGGGACCTATAACATTTGTATCACTGTGAAGTTTGAACAGTTATTCTTTTTTTTAAATTTTGTCATTTTTAAAACCAAAATCCATGAGTCTCTGTCTTTTTAAATCCATAGTTTTCTATGTCTGTCTCGCGGACATCACAGGATGAAAGGATTTATTTCTGGGTTCATAGAGAGTTAAAGATTTGTATGATTTGGCATTGTAAAATACAGCATATTGTTGAATTGCAGTGCTTCCCAGTGCCTGATTGAAATACTAAAAGCTGTGTTTCCTCAATAATTCAAGGCTAAAGTTAATTAGCAAACCAGCTGAACATTTCTGTATTTTCCATAGAGGAGATGAAAGCAGCTGACAGGAGCCAGAAAGCTGAAATCACATTCGCTGATCTGATAATGAATTGGCTCTGTAGTATGTCACTGTTAAGAATGCACTGCCGTAGAAAGCCTGTTTGAAATGGCATTTCAGATGATATATATGAACACGCCCTCCCCTCTTGTGAGCTGGTTATGCTGCGTCATCATGATTCAACCCCCCTGCCTATATCTGTATATTACCGTCCGTTATGTCGGCCTTTGAAGCATCGCTCCTGAACTTTTCTGTACATTTTGCCCTTCGATTAGTCATGCAACCGCAGTCCTGTAGGACCTCATTACTGTTGGTTATCATTTTAATCTACTGAGCTGCTACAGGACTGCTGGAAGAGGAGGAGGAGGAGGAGGAGGAGGAGGAGGAGGCCATGCTAGAAATCTATTAAAAGGGAAGTGGACATGGATGAGTGGTAGAGGAGTCAGTGCAGAAGTCCATTCCCTTCAGTCTCTCTCTTCGATTCAGTTTCTTTCTGTTTCTCTCTCTTTTCATCTTCTTTCTTTCTCTAATTTTCTTTCCTTTCTCTTCCTCTCTTTCTGTCTCAATATCTGTCCTTATCCCCCTGCCTTTCTTTCTGTCATCTCTCTCCTCACTCTCTCTGCCCTCCTCAATCTCTCTCTCCGGGGTTTTCATCTTGACCTTCAGACACCTCCTCCTGGTGCCACTTTAATAACTTACGGGGGAAATAGGAAATGTGGTCTCAAGTCAAAATTGAAATGGGTTTTTCACTTCAGGCTGTTGATATTCCGGTGGCAGAATAAGGGAAGCTGCTTCCAGAATATTTTTCATCAAGTTTGTGCTTGGCATCATTTCAGTTAATGAAGAGAAATTATGTGATGCAAAGTTTGCTTTTTGACCTCGAAACCTAATTTTCTTGACCTGAGGTGGTTCCTTCTGAGCCAGAGCAACTTGTCTGTTCATTTACAATAAGAAGTTTAGAAGAATGCTAATTTTTGTCCTCAATTTATTCTGTTTTGATACTGTAGAACGTGTATTGCAGTTTATCCCAAGTGTCTGTGGGACATGACTCTTGAAGGGCTGTAACTAACAATTATTCTCATATTCAATTTGCCCCTTAGACTCCAGTTTTATGCTTTTGTTTCCCTGTAGCCCGTAACCTCTTCTGTATCATCTTGTTCCAACTTTTAATTGAAGCTGTATGATGTTTATACTGAGGGAAATACTCGTACCCAAGACCATGTGTTTTTTATGGCTCCATCATTACATCAAATGGACATATTCTGTTTGTCTTGAGTATCTTTCACCACCCTAACAGCATACAGCTCTAGAAATGCAATTATAGGTCAGATGGTTGTTTTTGCTCCAGACCAGTGTAAACCTACTGTAATGTCACCCATTGGTTTGAGGTGTACGGTTTTGAAGCCTCTGGTTGGGTATTTTGGTCCTCGTAATGCATTTTTTTTGGAGCCAGCCACTACTGCGACATACTGCGAGTTGAACTGGTCTCATTGGCTGCGCAGTTTTGACTCATCCATAGCAGGAAACAATGGTGGCTAGCCCAGTGACACACATTTTCATATTACAGATAAACAGTACACTACAATATGTTTCTGAAAAGATTTTAAGCAAGCAATGAGCAATGCAGTAACAGAATCTTGATTCATATTTGATCAGCACAGCCTGGTTTGATGAGTTTTGTGCATTGTGCACTGCTTTATTGTCTATTTTACATACATGCATGGAAGAAGTCTTGAAACTAGTAATTTAGACCATAAACTCTCTTTAGGAAACTGTTTACTGAGCTAATAAATCCACACAATCAAGGTGAAAGTAGGGTCATTTCTCCATAATACTCCATACTATCTGCCTTTTTTGCCCCCTGTCTTAAATATACATTCTATATACACAGATTGTATATTTAAGACACTAATGCGTTGGCTTTAGTTCACAGACCTGGAAGCTCTGTCCACAATATTTACTGACTATGGTCCAGACTGAAATTCCCTCAAATTTAAGAAGCTGGAACCAGAATTTTTGCTAATTTAATTACGACTAATCAATTATAAAAATTGCAGTCCATTAATTTTCTTTTGTTCATCTACTAAATGAATCAACTAATAATTTCAGCGCTAGACTCTTTTATTTGTCCCGCTAGTTACTGACATTGAATTCTTCCGAAAGAATCATCAATACATTCGACTTTGCACATATTTATTCCCATTTTGTCTCTCTCTCACTCAAATACACTTATTACACAGTATATTTGTGTTTTATCTGCGTTCTTTGTTACAATGCTGGACCGTTGGCAAGATGTTTCTGGAAAAAGAAATCAAATCTGAATGGTTCACTTTGTCAAACAAGGGATTTGATCAAATTATAATGATAATAATAATGGTACTAAAAATAAATTTGATTATTACAGCCCACTATTCGAATGTACTTTTCTATCAACTGCACCAACATTAGACAGTCAAAGCCATTCATCTCTCTCTCTCTCTTTCTCTCTCTCTCTCTCTCTCTCTCTCTCTCTGACTGCCTGCATTACCATTAAATGAGATACAACAGTTTCTCCCTTTTATCTCAGCAATTCCATTTCAACATATTGGTATGAGGAATATGATGTGGAAGCACCCAGAGAGCGTTCACTGATATTAAACAATATGGCTGGAAACAATGTGACTGTTTTCCAATTTAATTTCATAGTGAATAACCTGCACATTTGATTTGATTTTTATTCTCTTCCCTCACTCTGGCCCGAGATAGACAGGCACCGCCTTGGCTTGGGGGGTGGGGGTGGTTGGTGGAGGAAGGCAGAAATGGAGAACGGCATCATTAACATTCTCTGACAGTTAACGTTTCAATCTCGCTCTGTGGCAGAAACCCAATATTGACATAAAATGCCAGATGACAATAAGACAGAGAAAAAAAGTGGAGCGCTGGATTTGGGATGCGGCCTGGGCCTGACTGGGGTTGTGGCCGCTCCAATCTAATCAACAGCTGTGTGATTGGAGAAGCTGCTGGGAAGGAACGAAATAAAACAGAGGGGGTAGAAAAAACCAAAGATCCAACAGATGCAGGGGACTCCATGAAGAGGATTGTGGGAAAAACAATTCCATTTCAAGATAATTGATGTCTGAAAGTTTGGTTTCGGTTTGAGATCTCTTGGGAAATAACTTTGTGTATATGTTCTGCTTCATAGGTTGTTCTTATTTTGCATCCTGAATTTGCATTTTTTGGCATTTTGCTGATGCTTTAAACCCAAAAAATAACGAGTGCAACAGGAGCTCCACATCCACGACCTCCAACAATATAATCCAGTCTAAGGCTGCAACTAAGGATTATTTAATCAATTAATCCTTTAGTCTGTAAATTGTAGAAAAGATAGTGAAAAATGCCCATCACTAGTTCTCAGAGCACAAGTTGACTTCGGTAAATAGCTTGTTTTGATACAGTCCATACCCAAAGATAATCAATTTACTATCATATATGACAAAGAAAAGCAGCAAATTCTCACATTTATGAAGTTTTGGCATCTTTGCTTAAAAAATGAATGACTGAAACAATTAATTGATTATCAAAATAGTTGACCATTCTGTCACTCAACATATCAGATTTTAGCTCTAATCAGTGAATGCAAAGTAGTATTAGTGGCATCACCTGTATGTGTAGCATCATTATCATTCTAACTTCTAATTCTTGTTCATGCTCCCTAACAGCAGATCCAGGATGCTGCTGACCAAGGGGTGATGTTTGTGGGATTTGTCCAGGAACCCTATGGGGCCCCATGCACCAGGATCAGAGAACCAGACACCCCCTCAATTTCCCTGCACTCCAGCCCCAGCTCTGTGCTCGGTTCCCTGGGCAGCTGCAGCCCCTCGAACCCCTCAAGCCCCAGAAACCATGCAGAACCTGGAGCTCAAGCTGAAGCAGTGGACAAAGAGGGGAATGAGGAAGCCTCCTGTAAGTCTGGGGAAGGAGCACCGAGTGGGGAGAAGAGTCAAAGTGAGAACACTGGGAACCATTCAGGGGGCGGGGTGGAGGGCAGTCTGGATGAGGTCTCGCCTGCGGCGTCTCCAGTATCAGAGGGAGATCTGGAGCACACGGAGGAACTGACGGTGGAGGACTCGCCGTGTCACAATAACAACAAAGACAGTGGCAGAGACACAAAGGAGAGGCCGAGATACCGCCTGCGGAGGGGTGATGGTGAGTGGTTTCTATGATTGCCGTAATAAACTAAAAGGAAAATGATGTGTTAAGCAAATAACATGTAAATTAGAACTGTAAAGCACTCTCATGCTGTGAAAAATGAATGAATCTGGGGGGAAAAGAGGGGGGACAAAGTCATCACAACAATAGGTTAAATGTTGACTAATTTTTTTGTGATCAGGTTTTGATTGGACAATTCCTCTTCTGGCTAATAGACAAAACACACAACAGAGGATCTAGAGGGGTAAAAAACTGCCTGGCCACCCCAGCAATGGGCTTTTCCAAGTAAATATTGATATATGTGATTGTTTGCGATTAAATCAGCATATATTTCTGCCACCCAATGAATATATCTCTAGATTCGCCCCTGAAAACATGGAGACATTTTACGTTACACAGAATACAATTAAAGAAATAAAGGTACGAAATATGAAAAGTCAGACACACTGTATCTCAAAACACGGGTGTGTAAAACAAGTATTTGCAAGGCTGCATATCACTGGAGGTGAGAGAGAAAATACGTTATTTTGTTATTTGGCTGAACAGACCCTTTAAAGGAAAATACACTAATTGGCCAAATGGGGGCCCTATAATTAAAGGTCAAAATTTCAAAACTTTACCAAGCTTTAAAACTAAAAGACTCTTAAGTCCAAATGATACGGGACCTGCCACACAGCTATCTTTACAAATTGCACAGAAAGGCCTAATGAGGGATGATAATTAAGATAATTAAAGGTCAAAACTTCAAACTGAAAGGCCGCAACTGATGCACTGCCACAGGCCCAATGCCGATGAAACTCAGGCTAGTTTCTGCATCATTTACGGACATTGGATGAATGTTGTCCTCCCATTTATCAACTCAAAAATTATTTGTTTTTTGAGCTACATGTTTATGCACATTCACACCTGTGAGCTCCCTGATCAAACCACAGTCGACTGCTGGTCCCAGAGCAGCACAAACAGTCGGGGTTTAATTGATGCACCGAAGGGCATCCGCTGTCTTCAGTAGCTTTTTGTCTCACATATTCACAGAGATAGATTTAAAATGACAGCTTCTAATCTTTAGCCAATATCGTTCTGCATATCTGTGTAACTTGTGTTTTGGTTTTATTTGAAGCCATACCTTTTGGCTGTTTAACTAAAGAACAGCGTGGTGCCGTAGATCCCTCTTGAAACACTTGGCAGCTGCGGAGGTGTCATTTCCTGCTATTGCCTCAATGTTACACAACAATGTGCTGCCTTGGGATATAATCCTCTCTATCCGTTACACAAAAAGAATCGTCTTATAGCTGTGGTGCATTCAAATTCACACTCACACTTAGGCGATGACGCAGGAGTCTGTGAAATTCGCAGTTTAGTTGGGTTTTTGGGAAAATGCACATTTCATAGCTCACTTTCTGTCTTTCCAGAAAGTGAGCCATACCTACACCACTTTTACTTATTCATGGTACCCCCCTTTTCTGTGGGAATGGTGTTGAAATTAGCACAGACATTTATAGTTTCGGCTTTATTTGAGCATTTTGAATTGACAGATGGAGACACCCACCACTCTCACCCCCCGCCCACACGCTCTCCTCCTCTCACAGAACCTATTTGTGATATGTGTCAGTGCAATGTGCTAACTGTGCATTAGATACACTCCCAGTGGGAGTGTTAACGTGTGTGTGTTTGTGCGTATACTGTATATCTGTATCTACAGTGTGCAATACGAATTAGGTTCAAAGCACCTTATACCAGGTGTTGCATAATGAATGTACTCTTTGGTATGCACATACTTTATGCTTTTGTTTGTGTGTGTCTTTGTCTTCATATGTGTGCGATAACACACTCTTGGCATCACGGTAGACCACAGCCCACTGGTCCATCTGGGCCTCCCTACAGTGCATTTTGCAGCGAGATAATCCCCCACTGCCTTGTCCTCTACCTCCCTCAGCTTCACAGCTCTCTCTCTATACCCCCACCTTCATCCCCCTGAATCTCTGCGACAACGCCAGCAGAGCCGGTGTAGCAGCCAGCCGGGGTGGTAGAGGAGCCTGCCAAGCTCCCATGTCCCTCTCTACTAATGCCCAGTCTGCCGAGGAGGCCCAAGAGTCTCGGGTACTGCCGGCTTGTCCTCGCTAATCCTCAGATCTTGAGGTGAACGCCGTGCAAGTGTTGGCAGTGGAGCTGGCGAAAGTCTGTGGCTTACGGTCGAAAAGAGGATCTCCATCCCTGAGACTGGAGCTCTGGATAGAAACTGAGCCCATAAGTTTGGAGATTCAAAGGCTTGGATGGTTTGAAGGAAAGGGATTCTGGGGGAAGACCAAATGGAAAGTATAACATGGTAGTGACAGCTGTACGCTTATGTATGGATAAGACAACACAGTGTCCTAAGGATTAATTTCAGATGCAACTGATTTACATGAGCAAAAATGTTTTGTAGGAAATTAAATGGATCATTTATTTATGAACATACTGAGGAAACATTTATACCATATTTTTCCTCTTTTCCTACACTACATCTGTGGCACCTACATGTTTATATCTAGGCAACTCAAAGTACTTGGCTGATAAAATATTGATAAAGTCAATGCTGATTCAAGGCAAATGACGGGACATGTTTACTTTTTCAATATTTGTCTTTCTATAACCTTGAGCAAATCACCCAACAACACATTCCTGTGTTTTGCACAACCGACAACGTTACCTCTTCCCAAAAACTTGTATGTTTGTATTTTGTAGAAGATAGAGTTGGAATAAAAAGGTGTTCAGGGGACATCATGAACCTGAAGTGAAACTGCGACAATATTGAGTTTCATGTCAGGATATAAGTTTATCAAAGCTACAGACATATATAATGAGCTTCGAACAAACAACTTAAAATTGTAAAGAGCTTTAGCACAGGTGTAATCCTGAGGAATACCAGTCTAAAATCTTAAGCATCTTAGTCAATGTGCAGAAGGAGTATTTTCAGCTGCTTGGTTTTATCCTTGAGATCAGTGTTATCTCTGCTCTGATGGGATCAGTGTCCATCTTCTCAGATTATAGAAACAGACATTGAAATGATGACATGTCATGTTGGAAAGCTACGCTGCTAAGATCATGGCAGGGTTGATGCCACCGACCTCGTCATTTGGACCGCCGGGCTGCCTTGAGATAAGCCTTTGAAGCAACATGTTTTTAATATCCTAACGACACTCATGCACTTATTTTCTTGTTAGCCAGGTCTGCCGGCGACAACAAGAGTCAGGTTAGCTACACAGACTTTATTCTGAAAGACTTAGGGGTCGTCTGCTGATGTAATGAATTTGTGCGATTAGGCTTAAAGGACTTAGTCATACTCTTCAGTGTGTGTGTATGTGTGTGTGTGTGTGTGTGTGTGTGTGTGTGTCTGACACAAGGATACGCAAGTACATCCATAAATATCAAATTACTGGGGCATTAAGTAAGATTTTTACCGCCCTATAGCTCAAAAATGACCATAATAATTCTCTGAAACATTAATAAAGTTATTGATCACGACCAATTACTTTGCCATAAGATGACATCTCTGGCTTTCAAACCTTGTTCTTGTTATACAGCCAAAAAGCAAATGACTGCAGTGTTATTACCACTGTTTCTTGGCTCTCCAGCAGATCTCTGATCGGAAAAGTTTCTGTTACACAGTAATGTTTGTGTCATCTACTAGCCACTGTAGCACAAGGGGAGTGGTGAGCTTGGCAAGAGATTTGTTTTGTTGGTCACTAATTAGAGTTTCAAAAGATCAAAGGTCACTTAACCTTGTGTTCTTCCAAACAATAAAGTATCTGTTCTTCTGCAGTTTCTCACAGGAACTATAAAATGTTATAAAGTGAACATGTGAACTGGTGGGACACTGGTTTGGGTCCTGGCTTGTGAAATCCCGCAGGGGGAAAGTGATGCAATGTGTTTATCATCTGTCACTATAATCATGTCATTTTTAATATCCGTTCATGTTTTTATTTTTTAGTTTTTTCAGATAAGTAACGTTGAGATGTTTGTAATCATTTACAGCCTGCCATGCTGTCTCAATTGCTCTGTATACAATAATGTAGCTAACATTTTAAAAAAATGTAAAAGGCTGTAATCTGACAGAAAAAATGTCGGGTGACTGATTATTTAAATCATTGACATTTCAGGGGCAGCCCTACAGATTTCTATCAAAATGACTTTCTAAAGTGCTCATGAATGCCATTGTCCTGCAGTCCAGAGTGACGGACAGATGCGAGACAGATGTTTTATGCCTACATATAAATATCAGCAGATAGTCCTCTTATCTGTCGGTGGCCACCAACTCCCCCTTTGCCGGAGGGAAATGTCCCTTAGGCAAGCCACTTAATCCCTCTGATGCTCCAGTATATCTCCTGTGAACAGAGCACTGCTGAAAAGATGTTTACAACCCAGAAAGTCTTTCCTGACCACATAAAGGTTAGAAAATGAGCTACCTACTCCTCCGCTTCAATTAGAGGCGTCTTAGTGCCATAATCATAGTGTAATTAGAATGTAAGGACGTATAATGCATGGAAAACTCTCAGCTATTATACATAAAAGATTTAATATTGTGAGAAAGAGGCCTGACAGCATGTTTCTTACTAGTGGCTTTTTATTTTGTGGCAAGCTATTTTAAATGGAACAAATAACAGTCCCATCAGTAGCAAAGGAATCACGGTTTAATGGCGTTACTTATCTAATTACAGTGTGATTACAGAAAATAAGAGCTGTGACCTAAAGCCTTACCGCATTTCTAAATTAGTTAGTATACATGACACAATTTTTCAAAAGCAGTCTTCTTCACGACCTGCTCGAAGCTCACTGACATAGAGAAAGCATTCATGGGACAAACTGTAGTGATACATTATCTCAGGCTTGTGCACATAAACTGTAAATCAGTTTTTTATGATACAGATCTCCACAAAGTCATTCGCAGTGAGGAAACGTGTTGTTTTGGCAAGTCGGAGACATGTTGAATGGGAAGTCATTTTGTTGCTGCGTGTTGTCCAAGATTTGTTTGCCATATTGTCCTTGTTGTAACATGGGTAACATGGGGAGGATGAGGGGAGGGTGTGTGAATATTCTGCTGTGATTCAACTATTCTCAAGAGTGACAAATGACAAGATTTAGGGAATTTGGTGGCCAGCTGTCACATGAGTCAGACGAGCCAGACAAGAAATGGTTATAAATGATTCATTCTTCCTGGGTGCCTGCTGGACGGATGGACGGACGGAGGAACCAAAGCGACTGAGCCATGACTCCCCCACCACTACCAGCACCGCCGGCGCCGCCACCACCACCACCACCACCACCACCCCGTGTCCTACTGCATGTGTGTGTGTGGGTTGGGGTGGGTGGGTGGCAGTGCCGCACATTCTGCTCATCCATCTGGTTCACTTGGGGAATGACAGTCCGACATTTGCATTGGAAAGAAAGGGTAAAATGTTACCAAACCCGATTTGAATAGCTTCCTGCCTGATTCGAACCCTGCTCACATCTCACGTTTTTGTGTTTTTTCAGAGCTAAGCGGAGCAAACATTTCACTCACTCACATCACAACAAATAAAACTCTTTCCACTTTGATTTAGTATGATATGAGCGAGGAGTAGTGACATACGTACTGTGGGCACATTTCCAAGCCTGTTTCTCCCTCCTGAGGCCCACTGCATTATGTATATTTGTGCTTGATATAAACAACAGCTAGCTGGAGAGCTTTTAATGCATTATTCAAGGTTATACCATGAATTAACTCGGTTACAATGAAATGGTCCCTTTTAAGTTCTGCATCAGCAGAGTAACATCACTTCTAGAAAACATTAAAAGGAATATGAGGACGACTTGTAGCATGAATATGATCAAATTGCTTTTGATTCACTTCACGTTTGTTGTTGAAAAAGAACCAACTGGAAAAAGAAGCAGCACCCTTGGAAATTATTTTCAGCGTATTTGTGAGTCCAGCTTGGGGCGACACAAATCTCATCTTGTATTACTCTTTCATTTCTCGTTTATTTTGAACCTGCCAGGTGGGACTTTTGTTCATGATATGATAATGATATTGAAGTTTTTATTATACTGTCTTGCATACAGATTTGTTCTGCCCACTTACAAGACACCAGAAATTAATGTAAAACAGATTCAGAATGCAGCGCATAGGCAAAAGGTCCTAAAATAGCATAAAAACAAAATCAAAATTGAACCACATAATTAGACAACTGGCAAGACAAGGTCAAATTTGTTAGAAGTTCTCAGCTACTTTTTTGTATTTTTGCTTTGAATGTGTCCAATTTTACTGCATTAATTTCCATGTCAATGCCAAATTTTTAATATGGCAAATTTCTTTAGCGCAGTGTTTGGAATTATTTCCAAAGATTCATGCAAACCATCCACTTTACTGAGCTGGTTTTTAATCTCATCCATCCTTTTTGGAGAAATTCTATCTCATACAGTACCAAATTTGTCAGGGAGAGAAAAATCAAACTGGTTGGAAAACAAGAAAGCATAAAAATTGTTATTTGCTATTGACAGGAACACTGTGGCCAACATTTCTTGGCCAAGAATCTTGTGACTGTCCGCAAACTGGCTGAGTTTCCTTGTTGCTTATCTCGTAGGAAATAAATGTACTTCCAATTGATTATCACAACGTTGCTCACAGTTTGATTGAGTGGTTAGTGTTGAAGTCCTGAAAGGTAGCGAGGAAGGGGTCATTTCCTCCATCCTATCACAATACTGCAGATAGTTGTTTGTATGGCAAACATATTTTAAACCAAAACTCTGCTGTCTCAGCCAACCGTTTACTGGGCAATTTCTAATAAGTTTTGACATCTGAAGGGAGGAAAAATGCTCCAACAGACGGAGCCAAATTACATTTTGGATTGTAGCCAATGTACAGCAGCAGTTCAATAATCATGCTGTAAAACGTGGAACGTCCACAAAAGCTACATCTGTATTGCCACAACCCTTACTGAGTTAAATCAATGACCTAGTTTGGTTTTGTGTCGTGTCTCAACAGGGGCGGAACTGCTCGCTTTGTACAACCACCCGCCAGTCCGAGAGGGCCAGGTGAAGTACTACACTGTTAAGGTGCCACTGCGAGTTCAAAACTGTGATGAAGGGGTCAAAGGTGTTGAGGCCAACTGGCTGGATCACATGACCCAGCACTTCAACAATGGAGCCTCACTGGTCGATGGATACTTCCACCTGGGCAACGTGAACGGTAAGCAGGCATGATTTTCTGTTATCGCAGAACACTTCGGTTTCCATGGTAATGGATGTAGGACGAAATGTCTCATAAGGATAATTAATATCCTTATTAATTATAATTAATAATAATTAATAAAATTCACATGTTAAACACCCTGTTTTAGGTTACATCTCACACACAATAATTTTCTTCCCTTAAATAGTAAAACAGCCTTCACCTTAGTCTTGGTCTACATGTACTCTGAAAGCTCCGACTCTTACAGTTATTAAAACTCAAAAAGATTCCTGAATAGCTTTTTTTTTTTTTTTAATCCCTCGGCAGTATTATCACAAAAAATGCCAACATCAATCAGATGCCAAATTCACGTCAACCTCTCTAAAATAAAAAGCCTGCAGCAGGTAATGAAGAACCTTGGCCTGCGTGTCATTAATTATGCATTAGCTGGCATTCATTTTCCACCAGAAAACAATCAGAACATATTTGAATAACAATTGACTCCTCTGTGTCAAGAAGTGGTGTAATACTGCAGGATTTGATACTGCAAACATACGCTGGATGACTGCAGAAGCTGCAGCAATCAGGGCTCAAAAACTATTGGAGAGAATAGATTTGGTAGAGAAATTCATACTTGATGACATTGGGCTCTATCTTGCACTCAGCGCAATTGACTTTGTACACTGGCGCTTGTATAATTCCTATTTTGCACTCAACGCACATTGGAATTTTCCCTCCATCGACGCACGTCCTTAAATTAGGGAATGAACTTGCGCTCCGGGGGGCGGTTCAGCGAAAAGAGGAGGCGTGTTCCGGCGCAAACGTTCCCTGGTGCTATTTTGCTGTTTCAGAAAACAATTCTGCCACAGACCAGGAAAAACCTAGTCTAAAGTCAGTGGCGCTTATTCAGATGCTATTTTAAGGGCGCAGACTTGAGGGGATGCGCCTGAGAGGCAGCAGCAACATCGCCACCAGTCAAGAGCATTAATACTGTGCCGCATCCCGGACAGCTCCTGCTCCAGCATGTCAAACCCGGTTTGCTGCAGGAACGGGTGGTCTTCCGGCGTGTAGTGGGTCTGGATCCTCTGCACCTTGGTGTTTGCGCCGTTCCCTCCTCAGTTGGCCCTTGCGCACTGCTCGGCCCGTGCGCACTGCACCCGAGGCCAGGGTCTTCTTCCTGCAAAGCTGCGTTACATTGTTTTGATTTATTGTATGGCTGTGTTACATTTATTTCATGTCAATAATGACACTTCTCGGACACGTCGGTCTCCTCGGCTATGAACCGCTCCTGGCGTGCGCCTGGCCAATCCGCCGTTATAATAGCAATCCGCCATGGAACAAGCGCGCCTGCTTTTAAAGGGAATGTGAGATGACGCTCTGATTGGTTTATTGCAGGTTACGCCCAAACCACACCTATGACTAATGTAGCTACTTCAGACCAACCCATTTTAGATTTGCGCCGGGCGCAAGAGTCATTTATCCCGCCCGCATAATAGCAACAGCGCCCGAGATCCGCCCACAAAGCTACTTTTTTGCGTTTGATACTTGCGTTTCAGATCGCCAAAGATAGGGCCCCAAATGTCTTTATGTTTAGTGCTAACAATCAAATGTTGGCATGCTAACACACAGAAGTAAGATGATGACCATAACAAACACTGTTCTTCCTTAACATCAGCAAGTCATTGTGAGCATGTTAACATGCAGTTGCTATAAGGTTGAACAACTAGTTTGTAGCTGACATCAGAAGTTGGTGGCTAAATTGCAAGAGGTTTTAAATGAAACTATCTGAGACACTGCAATGATGTTTAACAAATTACAGAGTCACTGGTTTTCACCAGTGTGTGTGGCCAACATAATGATTCCTTCTTTGTGGAGAATTCTTTAGAAGACATAGAGCTGTTTGGTATCCTCTTTTAAACTATTTCCTGTTTGGGTTTTCCTCTTCCATCAGACCCCGGCGGCTCTGTGCTTCGCTCTGACACTGGAGAAATAAGCCAGCCAGAGTAAATAAGAGTCATAATTCATTAATCTGGGAAAGTGAACGCCTCAGCAACTCTGAAACATAGATAATTAACCTGATAACAAATTAGTGCCTCCTTGCATATTTTATGTCCTGAGAATGGAGTAATGAAGTGTATTATTATGATTCAGTTTTTTTTCTGCCTATTATGGTCCTCTAACATATTTTGCATTTTTCATGCACTGCTAAGATATGCGTCTCTTGGAACAGTTAAATTACTGGGTAGGATAGAAAGCAGATCAGCTGCATTATGAATCTCTGCCTACACTGACTTATAGGGCTGAATTCAGCTCACAGCTTAAGCTCAACCTCTTTAGAAAACCGACAACTTTACAGAGGTGAATGCTGTTACTTTGTGGATTTTGGTCTCTTGAGAGCAGCTGGCAGTATGACATCAAAGCGGCATCCCGTTTGTTGTTAGCAGCTAATTACATCAAACAGCCGTGCGGCTCGGGTTTAGAATCAGTATCCATTCCTGCCGTTGCCATATTTAGCAACTTCTTTGAGACAAGTTTCTGAATTCAAAATGAGACACTCGACACAATGCGGGAGACCATCTCAACCTCATAAACATCAAGGACATGTTTGACAGCAAAACAGCATGTTAAAGGACATGGACTGACAGAGACAGAAGCATGCAGTTGGATGGGAGATGGTAGTGACAGTGACAGCCTTGTTTTTAGATACAGAGCAACCAGCTTTCATGTCCTGACAGATACACGTGCCGTCTAATGAGTGTAATTGTGTTTTTTTCTAAGACTGACCTTCTTATGCCCAATTTTTTTTACACTTATCCTGTTGTACTAATATTGTTTTACAGTATTTATTCCTCAGAGGAAGTGTTGCTGAGCCTGGTTTTTATTATGGATGGTCTGTCAGTTCCTGCAGGCTGAAATATCTCAACAACTGCTGGATAGATTACCATGAAATTTGGTGTAGATATAAATGATGCCAAGAGGGTGACGGACGTTGGTGGTCCCCTGACTTTTACTCTAGTACGACAATGAGGTTCACATTTGCGGTTTTGATTGAAATGTCTCCACATCCATTGGATGGAAAGCCATGAAATTTAGTATAGATATCCACGTTGCCCTCAAGAGAAATTGTAATCCCTTCACTTTTTGTCTTGCACCGTCATCAGGTTTTGACATTTTAATTAGTCCAATACTTTGGTTTAGGACCAAATGTTTGCAAAACTCATTGATGTCATTCCTGTCACCAGATCAACTTTGTGTTTAGTGCGAATTAGCAATTAAGATTGTTAGGCTTATTCTTGTTTAGCAATGTGTTGCTTTAAATTTTTTATATCTGGAAGTTGGCAGGTATAGTTTCTGAGCACTGTATGCAGTACAGAAGAAGACGAGTACGATGAGAGTAAAATGTGTCAATATCCACTCTTAAATATAGAAACTTTCAATTTAAAAATATATATCGTTTTCTTACTCTTGATCAGGAAAATTGCACTGAAGCTCAAGTTTAAGTCCCACCCATTTAGAATACGATACATATACAGTACATTAAGTTTGTGGAACAGATAGACAGGCTACAGATACAATTAATGATGTACTTGCTCATCCCTAAAAGCTTTAACCTTCTACTACTAAAAGCCTCTGAAACTCATAGACTAAATAGCCTAAAGGATGGGAGAGGATGCTGGTCCTTGTTTGAACCAGACACTCAGATTAAAATCCTGCAAAACAGTTGTAATGCTATGTAATCTGAAACAGATTATTAAATCCAATTTGGCATCTTTGAAAATACAACAGATTTCCATAATTCATTCACCCAATATGGATATATTTCAGTGCCAATACTCTTGTGCTGTAAGTTAATAGTAACCACTAAAAGTAAACCGTACATTAACAATCATTCATAATTGTTATGCAAAGCCCACAATTCATTAACTGATTGAAATTAATCATCCATGCAGCCCTAACCTTCTGATGCCTAAAAACATAATTTATAATCAACTCGAAAGCACTCAAGGCGCTGCATACCTTAGTCATGGAGGGGTGAAGGGGTAATGGACAATATTGGTGTATCAGCATTATGATATGTCTATATGACCTTCATATAAAGTGGCTTATTGTCTTTAATTGTTTACTTTGTTGTTTAATTGTTTTATTGTTTACTAATGTATGATTTTATTTCACTGATATGTATGCTCTCAACCTGCTTATATTCATACATTTATACAAAGTTAAATCCTTAATTAGCGCAATTACAGTTATAGGATTTATTTACCCTTTGAAATCTTTTAAAGACTTTTTGAACCTAAAATACATTTTTATTTATTGCACTTGCATTAAGTTACATGACAATTAGATCTTCTTGAGAAAATATGTTACTCTGAAAACAGTTTGTTGTTTATATTGATTGTTGACCTAAAGATCATAGATTGTCTGCATCACTGTTCATGTTCCTGCAATCTCTCTGCAACTCTGGCCTTTTCCTAATTACTGTTCTACCTTTCTATTGTCTCTGACAGTCGGTTGTTTGTCATGGTCCAGAGGGACACACACTTGCACACAAAAACACACAAAAACACACCGTGTCCCCATGCTTCTTCTAAAGATGGGTTTCCATGGTGAAGCTGGATGAGAAAGCATTAGGGCACATTGTTTGCATATGCACGTGTATTTGTATATTTGTGTGTGTGTGACAGTGAAAGTCCTGTCTGGTGTGGCAGCACTGTTTGCAGCGAGTGGGGACCTTGCCTGAGCCACAGAATAGAATATTACTATATATTGAATTGAATTTACAGGTCCTAGGCTGCACGCAGGCCCCACTGTCATAAGACACACATTAAAGATTCATACAAACTGTGGCACTGTCTGCTAACATAAATAGGACTATATGCATCCACATATACCTACAAAGACACGCACATACACCCATTTACACTCACATACATACACACAAAATACATATGAGTTCACACTACCTCCCTGGATTCAGGAGTAGGATGTGGGGTTGAGTTTGTTTACTGAAGAACTGA